GAGAGAAAGGGGGGAAATGTGTGTGTGTGTCAGTGTGTGGGAGGGGGGTTTTTGTTGGTGGGGGAAAAAGGTATACGAGGCTGGCGGGGGAGATTCATACTGGCGGCTGAAGCAGCCCCGAATGTTAAAGAGAGCCGGGGGGGGGGGAGAGGAAGGGGGCTCCTCTTCAGGGGGAAGCTGCTCCAACTCCACGAACAGTAACCCTCCCCCCCCCCGCTCGGCTGCTAGTGCCGTACTACTCACCTCCGCGAGGTCCATGGGTCGGTTTCGGTTCCTGTCCCGCAGCAGACACACAAGGCCCCGCCACAGCCGCGCCACCGCGCCCTTCCCGGGGTAGACCACCAGTGCCGCGGCGGATACGACATCGGGTGACGTCAGCTCCGGAGGAGGGGAGGAGGAGGAGGAGGAGGGTAGAAGACCGGGACGCGGTCGTGGTTTCGAAGCCAAGGCGCGGTCGGTCGCGGGGTGTCGCTCCGCGGCAGCTGGCTTCTCGTAATCGACGCTGCTGCTGATGCTGCCGCCGCTGTCGTTGCCAATGCGGCCATTGGCGGTGGGTGCAGCAGCGGCACCGGTAACGGCTGGTTTGTCGTACGCGGTGGCGGAGGAGGCAGCGGAGGCGCCCCAATCCGCCTGGCCCCACGGCGTCTGGCTGTCGGTGGCGTCCACAGCCCAGGCCCAAACGCCGCCGCCGCCGCTGCCGCCGCTGCGACCGGAATCTCCACCTTCCCCCCAGTCGGCCAGTGCCGCTGCCATTTTACCGCTGTCGTACAACGTGTTACAATCACCCTCGTTCCCGAGACCACGGGCGTCGGCATCGCAGCGGTCTTCGAGATCCTCGGCGCTAGCTCTTGCCAACGCGTTGCTGTCCTCACCCGCTGGCGGTGCCGCTGCCGTTGTTTCGTCGTACGAGTACGGCATCAGATCGCCGTCGGCCTGGCTATTGCCGCCACGTGGCTCTCCCCCGGCGGCAGATTCCAGTGGTTCCCCTGGAGCGCTGCTGGGCCCAGGAGGCTCTTCTGCGGGTGCCGGCGCCGCCACCGCCGTCATCGCCGGCGGCTCTGCGGCAACGGCGGCGGCCTCGTTTTGTGTCGTATCTGCCACGCCAGCGTATGGCATCATTCAGCGCAGGCCAGACAACGAGCCGCAGTGGGGTGCGAGTGCGCGGTTCCCTTTGCTGCTGCTGCTACTGCTGCTAATGGTGGTGATGCAGCTAAAAAGTGTGTTGTGTTGTGTCCGCAGCTGCCGTTGTTTGCTGCCGCAGCCGCCGCTCCCCCAGGCGTCCAGGGAGACTGAAATGTTGTTTGAAATGGGAATTGCGTCCCGCCCCGCCCGGGTCGGGTTGGGTCGCCGGTGTTGCGGACGGAGCGTGTTGCTGTAACCCGAGTGTGATGGTGGTGGTGGTGGTGGTTGGTGGGTGTGTGTTGGGGGGGGGGAGACGATAGGGGACGTCCGTCTGGGCCTTATGTACCTCTACCTCCACCTCTAGCTCTTGCTGTCTCCCACCGCCGTCTCCGTGTCCGCTGAAGCCGCTGTTCTGTTGGCCCGGCTGGCCAGCAAAGCAAGCAAAGTAACAAGTCACCTTGCTTGGCTGCGTCCTTCGGGGTTTGGGTGGGTGGGAAAGACGCAATTGCACGAGGACAGCGAGGAAAGCGAACAGCTGTCAGGATGTGGTCGGTTCGGCGGCCTTAGTGGGGAAATGCCGGTCCATGTTTGTGAAAATAAGATAGGACAGGAGTCATATGCGTTCGGTCCCGTACCCAGTTCTCACTTGTTGTGCCATCTAGGATTGAGCCGTTCGGGAGGAAAGAAGGTGAGAAAAGTGCGGTGCGGAAATGGTGAGGTTCAAGGTTGACGTCAGCAAAGGTGCAAAATGGGAGCGTCGGTGGACTGAGAATGTGGAAGTTGGGAAATGATGATGGTTGGGCAGTGCGGGTTTGCGAGCGCGTCAAATAGGGACTCCAGCCCAAGGGATATTCGGGGCGACACAGAACTGGTTTTCCAGCTGCGCACGCGATTTCCGTTGAAGATGGACAGGAACGGGTGGTCGGCGGCAATGTGCGTCATGCCCAGCAGATAGATTTCAGGCACACAGAAATGACCCGCTGAAGGATACGCACGCAAAGGAAAGGCCCTTTTTAGCCATCCCGCCGTAAGCCGCCTGTATTATCTTAAGCTCAATTGATCTGCTAGGGGCCAACCCCGATGCATCAATGCGATGTGATGCGTACGTGACCTAAAGATCGAGCATGGGGGCTTGAACACTACTCACAGAAAGGGAAGAAGATTGCTAGGTCCAGGTGTGCTGCCAAACAGGGTCGAAAGGTTAGGGCTCCGGCGTGCTTGTATCATAAATTCATAGCTAGCAGGGATCAAAATATTAGTTCGTCCCTTAATCATGCCCCAGGCACGCGAGATGCAGTACATCATACGAACGTTCCGTAACTCCTAACGCTCAACGGTCTCGCAACCATAACACCGGAAACTAAGCGGAATTTCAAAAAGACACCACCCCTTGGCCTTTGCTAGCAGACATCGGCAAACGGGGTATTTCTGGTTTCGGGAACGGCTCTATTTCTGTCTTACAACACAATGGCCCGCGACCTGTCCTTCATCATTGACCGCGGACTAAGGTCGTCGGGCGTCCTTTCGGGCCGTATAACACCTTTCGTATACGGCGTATGATCCTATTTCTGCAAGCCTGCCAGCTTCGGGAACTCTATTTCTGTCTTCGGGAGTTTCGGTACGACCCGGAACTCCCGAAGCGTTTGCCGATGACTGTTTGCTAGGCGAGTCGTTAACCTTTGGCATGATTTTTGGCGTAATTTTCCTTCTTTGGCGTACCTTTGGCGTAATTATCCTTCTTTCTTTCTTTCTTTCTTTTAGGTCGCAAGCACAGGCGCGGTCTAGAACAACGCAACAGGGTTTTCCGGTACCAAATCCTATGTTGCAATCGCAGGACGAATCATTCGGGATCTTACTTGTTGGTCTGCACTTGCAAATGGTTGTACCGCCGGTGGGCCTTTCTCTTGCAATCTGGACTTCAGGAAGTTGAATATTAGGTATATGCGACGATTCAATTTTCAGGCAAATCCCGTAATAGCAGCGCCAGAAGAACGGCAACGGTATTTCTTCCGCACTCTGGGCTGTGCCCACGGTTCGTCAAGGTGTCTTTCATATCCTCCTTCTCGTTCTCCTCGTCCTCATCCTTATTCAGAACGTTCTAATCCGCGTCCCTCAACAAAGCGGCGCTAAGGAAGTCTTTTTTCCTTTCTGGAATGTATCTCAGAGGAATCAGCAGCAGCGTCAGAAAAGGGGGACACCTGTTCCCCCCAAATCATCATCGTCGTCGTCATCGGCGGCGGCAGCTTCGACATCTCCTTCTTGTGGCGCAACCTCCTGGCGAGTTGCTGACCCGGGAGGCGCCACACAACCCCTTACGGGCAACGACTTCGCTGCGACTTCTTGGTTCTTGTTATTGCGCATCATCTGCACAAAGGGTCGCGCAAGGCGGCTAGCGTTGTGTTGGGATCCTGGATGCCGCTGGCCCCCTTCGTACGGCAGTGCAGGAACTGTACGGAAATAACCCTAACCCCCCCCCTCGCGCGTGTTTTTCGTTTCGCACTTCGCTTCTGGACTTTGTTATCTGTCCTTTTTTGAAGGACCCGACTAGTTGCAAGGGTGCAGGCAGAACACTCAGAACAACAGATTAAATAAGCCTCATTGGCCAGCAATAATAAGGCTTTTGCAGTCGGCATGGCCGCGGGACAACGGACACAGGCCGGCTAGCTAGCGACCCAGCCAAGTGATCTCACTGCCAGTTAGTTTTGCTGGCGAAGACGTTACGACCTTTCTTACAACCTTGACAGCTTATCCTGCTGGACTCAGGACTTCTAGCTAGCAGTGCTACCAGGAAGCATGATAGCATGGCATTGCACACTTACTTGCTCCCAGACAGTCTGGCCTTTTAACTGACCGCACATTCCGAAAACTGTTACGAGGACAACCCACTCCACCCGGCCTACCCGGCCCCCACGGCCCTACTCTACCCCGGCGTACGGAGCGCCTCACACAAGTGGGAGGAGGCGGGACAAGGGACACCGCGGGGAGGGGGAGAGAGCAGCGGTCCGAGTTAAAGATAACAAACACTCCTCCTTCAAGCCATGATTGAAGTCATTCACGTGTGTATTCACTGCACCACAACAAATATTTCGAAAGTCTGAAATATCTCAAGTCTGACGTAAAGATACGACAAAATCCTGGTGAAAGGGATGCTCGCATTCAGGAAAGACACACACACACACACATACACACATGCACACACGCACACACACCACTTAAGTGCAGCGCTCGAAAGGGATGCACCGCCCGCCGCAGTGGAAGTCAACATCCTTCACACCTCGATGTTGCGGCTCCTTCGCAGAGCCGCAGCCCGGCGAGGTGCAGGTGAAGGTGCACACTACTTGCCTCATCCTCTTCCCCGCCACACAGTCCTGACCCCAGTCCGACACACAGACAGCTCCCGCCGTCGCCCCCGCGACCTCATTCTGCACCATTCCCTCCAAATACATCGCCAATTCTCGTCCTCCTCGCCCAGGTGGCTGAGAGGGGGCTCACCGGCGCGGTTGGCTCCCGTCATCCCCCAGCTGTGCTGCTCCATGTTTCGCATCCACAATACCTCCGCCTCCGGAAAGGGTGAGGGGAAGGGTGATGGTGGTGGTGGTGGTGGTGGCGGTGGTGTGGTGACAGACAGGTGCCCTCTCCGCATTAGCCTTGAGCAACTGGTAAACAACAAAAAATCACAACCCGCAGCAGTCCCCAGTACGAATCGTCACCGGTCCGAAACCTCTTGGCCACCACCGCCGCACTTGAGCAAATACCAACAGCAGCAGTAGCAGTGTCAGCGCCACTGGCATAGATGCCGGAGAACAGTGGAAGGCGATGATGATTGAAGACGGCGGTTCGCGGTCCCTCCGTAGACGCACGACCGCAACGGCACCTCCTCGTGCACCGCTTCCATCGCAACTCCTAACCCCCATCCTCAGTTTTTACCACATCCGCCATCACCATCACCATCACCAGATTCACAACACGGAATATGGCGAGGGCGGTCTTTCAAAAGCTGTTGAGGGGTGTGAAGCCTCAAAGATGCAGGTCTAGAAACAGAGCTGAGGAAATAACGCCGCAACACACCTTATCGCCTGGCCAAGGCATCCATCCCCTCCCGCTGTGCCCTTGTCCGCACAGACACACGTCCCGTCCTCTTCCCCTCCCTCCGCATCACCACCACCACCACCACCACCACGGCGCACCACACGTGTGATCCCCGGGTGCTCGCTCCGTGCGGTTTAGTAGCACAGCAATGGTCTCTGGCAGCAACAGCGACAGCTTCCTCCGGCTGTGAAGCAGGCAGAAGGTCAGCTCGTGCTGCTGCTAGACCTCGTTGCTAATAGTAATAGCATAATATCAAGCTGTTAATTTAGTTACAGCTTATTGATCCAGTGGCTGGTTACGCCACCGGCACCGCATCCAGCAGGGACAACAATCGACGACGGCGCAAAGCTGCAGGAAACGCCATAGTTCGATGTGCTGTGTAGGGCAGAGGCGCGCAAGCAAATGGATAGGGCAGAGAGGAACAGACTGCAGGAAAACCCTGTGTTAGACAGGTAAACGCACTATGGCAGATACAGCGATAGACATACAGACAGGCAAGACAGCACAAGAAATGACATATGATGCATGATGCGCTATTACAGTACAGTGCAGTACAGTACAGTACACGACCAGAATGCTGAAGGCAGAGCGTGTCAAAAGATGCCCAGCGTCGCAAGTTTTCATGAGCCAATCCGTTCAACCAGCAGTCCGCAAACTTACCACCGCCCCAACCCAGCACTACACGACCATCACCACCAGTACCGCAACCACCACCCCCAATCGTAGCACAATCAGACACAGAGCAACGCCTTTCTTCTCACCTGCCCGCGCCCGTAGTCCTGTCCACTCTCAAGTAATCACCACCATCACCACCACCACCACCACCGGCAGGGTGGCTTAGATTCCCCCCTCCCCCATGTGGGACACCCCCGACCCCCAACTGCTGGGAGAGATAAGATCGTGTTCTTACGGTTGCCAAGACCCAAGCCGGTTGCCAATGCCCCGGTGTGCAGCAGTGCATCCGCGAAACATCCGCGAAACATCCGCGAAACATGACGACGTCCTTATTGGTTCCCGGCACCGGCACAAGCAAAGAGTCGAAATAATTACCCGCGTCATGAAGTTCAGAAGCACACTACTAACAGCCATACCATCACACGCCGCAACGCCCCTGCTGCAGCCAGCCAAGTCACCATGAGCAGCGGGAGGACCTCCACTCCGAAACCGGTGCGGTTCAACCTGCCGTTTTACAAGTCATATACCTGTAGCAGCTAGCCAGGACACATTGAAAACGAAGGTGGTGGCGATGTGACGTCAAATGGGCGTTAGTAGGGCGGAGGGCGGGAGCGCGAACCCAACTGCAGTCGTCGGCAAGTCCCTTTCTCCTTCGAGCATATTCATAGTCCGAGCACGAAGCCGCCAATGACAACGACAACGCCAACGCCAACGCCAGGAGCCATAATAGGTGGTCTTGAAAGTACGCAGCCGGCGCGAGGCGCCATGCGGATCAAACAGAAGACGGTCAACTCTCAACACTATCACCATCAACAGCAGCATTAGCAGCAACAACATTAAAAAGCCGGATAGGACAGCATAGTTGTCGTGAGCGCACTTTAGCGCACTTCGGCAATTTCCGCCGCACTAGAATTTCTGTGTCGCTACTACAGGTAAGTTCGTTATGGCCGTTACCGGGCGCTTAACGGACCATCACTACCACTACTACTCTTACTACTACGTGTGTCTGTCCAGATATGATGATTTATATCATATATATACATACGTACATACAAGTCGTACGTGTACGTCCTAAAATATTAATGCTAGTAAAAGGAGGTCATGTCCCAGACATTTCTCCAGTTCCACCATCAACCGCCATGGCAACCAACAACGACCTCGCTCCAGCACACCTGTGTGGATGCTGCCGCCCACGTGTCGGCGGCGCCCGTCAGTCGCCCTCCAGCTGGTCGGAGCCAGGAGCCCCTCGCGGCGGCCCCCAGTCGTCACTAAAAAGAGAATAGTAAGCTACACGCTAATGCAACAGCAATTCCTGGAGCCAGGACAGCGGGATGGGGACTTCTCAGTTACCCCTAAGCCCCCCTCCTGGCTGCACCACGATGCCCTCGGGCCCCCGAGCCAGTCAGCCAGTCAGCCACCACTGCGCCGGCACCTTCACCACACCCCCAACCCACATTAGTGCACAGGCACCCTGCCTGTAACGTAACTCCCCCTTACACCCTGAGACATACCACAGAACCACCACAGTGGCCTCAAAGCCGTTTCGCGTCACTGCTGCAAGGTCTCCTGCCTGGCCGTCCTCCATGCCTCCTTCCCTTTCCCCTCATCACCATCCCGAGTCAGCTCCGTTGTCCTCTCGAAAAGGGGTCCCCAAAGACATTCACTCCGCAACAACAATCATCATCATCATTGCCAATCGTAAACCCTCTCTCACGCAGCCACTCGCTCCGTATCCAGTATCGGAGGATGGGAACGGGGTCACACACACACACACACACACACACACACACACACACACACACACCCGCTCATTCCGGGGCACCCACACCCTCCGACCCGGAGCCTTTCTTAAACAGCCGCTTGAACATACGGGCCAACCCCCGCATGTGGCCACGCAGCCGCTCTGAGCCTGGCTCCGCCGCCGCCGCTGCAGCGGCGGACACCTCCGACGGCAGCTGCTGTGGGTCACCGGACTCCTCCTCCTCCTCCTCCTGCTCGCGGAACAGCGCCTCCAAGTGGCCTGGCGCCGCTGCCGACGAGGACCTCGGAACTGCCGTCACGCCAAAGCCGCTGCCCCGCACATCCCCAAGCATGCCAAATGCGGCGGCGGTGTCAGTGGCAATTGCCATGGCAATGGCAGTGGTGGCGGTGGCGTCGTTGCCACCAGCCTGGCTTCCACACGCCGGCGGCAATGGACCACTTGCGGCGGCGGCGCCGCCGCCGCCACCGGCGGTGCCACTGTTGTTATCCTGGCCTGAGGAAGGGCTCTCCGGCAGTGGACGGAACATGTCCACCAGAGGCTCCAACGGCAGCGTCGGCTTTCCGGCGGCCGCAGCTGCCGCGACCTGGCTAAAGTACGACGCCATGGACGAGGCATACGGCCCCATGCCAGCCGCCGTCATGCCGCTGGCGAATGCCGGCAGAGAGCCGGAGGCAAACAACGTCGTAGTGGCGTTTGTCGTTCCGCTTGGCGGCGCACAAGAGGCGTCGGCACCGGACCCGCCGCCGTCAAGCCATGAGCTGCTTCCAAGGGTTCCATGCTGACGACTTGACGCCACAGCGGCGGCGGCGGCGGCGGCGGTTTGGGCCAGAGCCTTGGGCGCCACGGAGACCCGTATGCGTGGGGGGGACGCCGCCACCGCGGCCGGCGGCGACTGAGGGGGCCCCCCGGCCGCCAGGGCATCGCCGGTAGCCGCAGCACCCTGTAGGCCTGCAGCAGCCTGCCCGCACGAGGCTATGAGCGCCGCCAGTGGCTCGTACGACCCTGACGTCGGCGGACCGCCAACGCTGCCGTGGCCGCTGCGGTCGGCATTATCGGCGCGGGAAGGCGGGGCAGCCAGCAGAGTGTTGTCCGCCGTACGGCAAGCCAAGCGAATAGGACTGCTGCGTAAGGCAGCGGCCGACGCCGCCGCGCCCAAGTCTAAATCCTGGACAGCGTCGGCGCCGGCGTCACCACCGGCATCGAGCTGACGCAGCGACGGCGCTGGATTCACGACACCGCTGAGCCCCGCACAGCTGTTTGCCTCCAAGGACGGCAGGTCTACATTGTCGAGTGGGGACGTGTAGTTGTGCATGCGAATGTACGACGACGCAAGGCGCATGAGGCACAACCTGTCCAGGTTATCCGCTGCCAAGACACTCGTCAGCACAGCAGCAGCAGAGCAAGCGGATGGCGGCACAGCGGCGGCTGTGCCATAAGCGGCGGCGGCGGCGGCGCTGACGGCGCTGCTGATGGCGACGCGGAAGAGCAGCGACGGTGCATCGAAGGCGGTCTCAGCACCGGCGTCGGCGAACCAGGCGGACGCGAAAGCCTCCCCCCCGGCGGCGGCGGGAGTCTGCTTGGCGGATGTCGCCAGTGCCCAGAGAGTGTCGAGGGTGTGTACGGCAAGGCTCAGCGGCAGGGAGGCCGCCAGGTGCAGCAGATTCACCCCGGCGGGCTGCCCCGGCACTGCGGTGTCGGACAGCGGAGGACCAGGGGGAGGATCAGGGGGAGGATCAGGGGGATTTGGATCTAGACGGCTGCCCCGGTGCATTCTGGGTCCAAGTTTAACCCTAATGTATTCCCGAGTTTCAACAACTTAAACCAACCCACACACTTGAAAACGCACACACGGTGTGGAGGGGACTACTGCTCAGTTCAGACTACATCAAAAGTCACCTACCTGAGGTTTGTCCTTGCACCTTGCACTGCTGTTGACCAGATGCGAAAGGACTGGACTCCACAACAAACCGCGACTCAGTAGGTCTACCGGATCCAACCGACGGCCAACCAGCACCGTGCTATAGGCCCCCCTCGCCATCACAGCATAGTCCAGCCTGGAAACCCCCTCACCTTGCGCCCGCCAGCTAACCGCCGTGCCGCTCCTAGCCGCCCAGGCCGCCGCGATGCTGATCACCGGCCCACAGCCAGACAGCACCGCGCAGGCGAGGAGGTCGATGCCCTTGTACGACGCAGTGGGCAACGCGCTCAGCGGCTCGCCCATCTCCACCAGCTGAGACCCCAGGTACGACATCAGCCGGGCAGACC